TAAGATGAAGCCTGTCCCTCCAGAACAGCTTTCTACCCTGGTATTGGTGCCATTACCCAATGTTTGAGCCATGCATTTAACTTAGAGCCATACAGCACGGAAACAGGCCCTTCGGTCTAACTCGTTCATGCTGACCAGATATACCAATCTGACCTAGTCCCATTTGCCAGCATTTGGCCCATATCCCTCTAAACCCTTCCTATTCATATACCCATCCAGATGCCTTTTAAATGTTGTAATTGTACCAGCCTCCACCACTTCCTCTGGCAGCTCGTTCCATCCACGCACCACTCTCTGCGTGAAAAAGTTGCTTCTAAATCTTTCCCCCTCTCACCTTAAACCTATGTGCTCTAATTTTGGACTCACCACCTTTGGAAAAAGACCTTGGATATTCACCCTCTGCATGCCCCTCATGATTTTATGGACCTCTATAAGGTCATCCCTCAGCCTCTGACACTCCAGGGAAATAAGCCCCAGCCTATTCAGCCACTCCCTAAAGCTCAAACCCTCCAGTTCCGGCAACATTCTTGTTAATCTTTTCTGAACCCTTTCACGTTTAACAACATCTTTCTTCTAGAAGGGCGACCAGAATTACATGTAGTATTCTTAAAGTGGCCTCATCAATGTCCTGTACAGCCAACTCCTTGACTTTATTTACCCTATGCCAGTTTACTAGTGGTTCAGGTAGTAATCCAGAGATTATTACTTTGGAGATTCTGCTTTTTAATTTAGCTCCTCATTATTCAGCGAATTTCAGCAGAGCCTCCTTTCTAGTCCTACCAGTGTTGTTGGTACCATAGTTAAAGAGGATGACTGGTTCCTCCCCTTCCTCTCCAAGTTCTTCTCCAGGCTTGAGATGTCCTTAACCCTGGCACCAGGCAAGCAACACAGTGTTCGGGATTCGCGCTCACGGCTGCAAAGAACTGTATCTAACCCTTTAATTATCACTCTCTGCTACCACTGCTACATTCCTATTTCTCCCCTTCCCACCCCCCCAACTTGAATGGCACCTTGTATCAAGGTGTTGTGGTCAGTTTACTCATCTTCCCTTCAGTCCCCGCTCTCATCTGTGCAGCTTGCAAGAGCCTCGTAACCACTGGACAATTGCAAGGGCTGAGGCTCCTGATTTTTAACCCCCTGGGTCCTCATATCTAACTGTTCAAGATGACAGTGGAGAAGCTCGTCTGGTCCCAGCTGCTTTCTTTCTCTTTTTTACTTCTTTTTGCTTTTTCTCTTTTTTTTTTCCTTTAATGCCCGCAGAGTAGCGGGTGGAGGCGGAGGCCTCCAGTAGCAGCAACACCAGGGTGAGCTGGACACAGCTCCACCCTAACCCAGGGTCTCCCAGCAAGCGAGAATTGGGTCCTGGGCTGACTCCCCTGGCCCAAACGCGCAGGCTAAGTCGATGCTCCAGGTCCGCGCCTAGGCCCCGAGCTCCTGAAGGAGCGGTAGCGTTGGCAAAAGGGATGGTGAAGGGTCCCGACAGCCAATGGCCAGCGGCAACATCTGGAGGAGCATCGGATGAGGAACAGGATGTACGGCACCCACACATCCCCAGGCCCATGGCTCCAGTTCGGACGCGACAGTTACGGTTGTGGAGCAACAGAGGCCTGTAAGCGAGACCTCTGAGCCCGTTACAGAAACCCAGGAGCCTATTTCAGAGACTCTGGCTGATGTCAAGCTGCAACTGGAGGAGCAGTGGGGGAGGAACAAGAAGAAAGGAGAAAGATAATTCTATTGCAGTAAAATCTTGCATCACATTCAGTGTTTCAAGATGATGCTGGAACGTGACGACACTTTGTGTATAACACACAAAAAAACACTTTTCACAGTATTTATTTTATGCATGTGATAACAAATCTAAATCATATCTGTCTGAATGCAGTCACGCCCTCCTGGCCCTGATCGCAGACTAATTTTGAATGATCTAGTCTGCGAGGTGTGACCACCCTCTGGATGTAGCGCACAATGTCTGCAGTTCATACTCTGGCTTCTCAACTCTGATCTGAAGTTCCTGGTGTCGGGACCCTTCACCACTCCAGGTATGTTAGTGCTGGATCATATTCGTGTCCAGTAGCTCCCACATATTGGAGCAGCAGCACATCACCGGTCTTGCCATCGTTATCATATTTGATTTAATTTATAAATTAATTCACTACGTTTACATTTCAATGATATTTTGATGTTATGAAAAGAAATAAGTCATCTGCATCAATCTTATACCTCAGTTATTTTAAGAGAAGAAAGAAGAAAAACGCTAGAGACCTAAACACAAACTGAAGACCTGAGTTTTACCATAAAAACTGGACATATTTACTAATCCTACTTACCAATCAGCTGCTCTCCCTATACTCGCATCACGCTGTGGTTCGTAACTTAGCTACTATCTCACTGCAAGTCAGCCTGTTGATCCACACCTTTCATCCCTCCCACCTACCTCTCACTCTGGAGAGTTTGGTGCACTGAATTTCCACTTTGAACAAGGTTCCCAACAGTATACTGACTCAGCCTTTGCCTTACTCTGCTAAGGTCTTACGCTGACCATGTTCCTCCCTAACAACATCAGCACTATCCTCCAGAGGTGTAACCTGTAGTTGTTCCCTAGCCAGGGGAAGCTGCTGTTAAACAAGGGCCATCTGAATCCCATAGACCTTTGATACAGTTCTTGAGTAAATTTGTAGCTCGGGTTGTGGATGCTGTGGTTGGTTCACTTGCTGAGCTGGTTTGTTGGCTCGTTAGTTCGCAGACATTTCCTTACCCTGCTGGGTAACATCATCACTGCAGCCTTTAGGGAAGGAAGCTGCCATCCTTACCTGGTCTGGTCTACATGTGACTCCAGACCACAGCAATGTGGTTGACTCTTAACTGCCCGATGGGCAATAAATGCTGCCTAGCCAGCGACGCCCTCATCCCGTGAATGAATAAAGAAGTAAGAAAGAAAAAAGCCTCTGATGAAAACATAACAGCACTTCATCGGAGGCTGCACTGATGATGTTACCCAGCAGGGTAATGAAACGTCTGTGAACTAACGAACCAACTTGGCGAGCGAACCAACCACCGCTTTGATACAGTATTTGAGAAGCCAGTCATCTTTCGCGATCCAGACCCCCTGCTTACACTTGGAAGAGCTCGAGAGTAGGTGATAGAAGAGCATGTCTAAGTAACCAAGGGAAGAAACACCAGGGTATTTGTCTGCTATTATTGCATGAAAATGAATTGTCCACTAACGGTGCATATAATTATTCATGGAGGTGACAGTCATGAAGGCCAAGTATGGATTTATGTAGCAAGTCTGGTTTATTACTCAAGCTGATGTTGAATTGTAGGCAAGGAAGATAGTTTCATTGTTTGCACTGGTTGTGGATTGGCCACAAAGGGGATCAGACTGCTTCGTAAGAGGTGGGTGATGTTACACAGAAATAAAGACTACAGAGGTAATCTGTGTTGGGGAGCTCCTTGCAACAGTCACTGAGGAGTGCTGTGAGTGATGGTGATTCTGCTGATCTGCTTGCCAGCCGTAACAATGGACAGGCAACCTGGAGGATACTGCAGCATTCAGTCTGACCTCTCCAGGCATTGAAAGTGTACTTTTCACACAAATAGTTTAATCAATGAACACCTCATTGTAACTCCTCTCTGTTGCTGTTCGAGCCACTCTGTTTGAAATTGTTATCCATAGGAGCAACAGCTAGACTTTGCAATCCAGAAGTAATCATTTGACATTCTTTTCAGTGGAAGTTAGAGCTGAATTTCAAAGGATGAACTGCAGGAACTTTGAGTTGTTGTCACGAGTTTTCAGGACATTGAGGAAGCGGAAGCTTATTCTTGTGTCATGTTTATGTGTGTGTGTTTTGTAGGCACCTTCAATTCAATGTAGGTGCTGTTGATCACATTGTGGACCATGGCAAAATGAAAAAAAACAACTTCAGTGAGCCGAGGAAAGAGTTTTGTCCTGTTGTCTGTGGATGAATCAATCGCTGTGACTGCCTGACATGACCCTGTGCCTCAGGTTCTGAGGATCAAGACCGCCTTCACAACCAAACAAAATAATGCAGCCAGCTGCATTAACTTCAGGCCCTCTTGTAGCTGATCACTGAGTTGCGCTGCTGTCCCTTTTACTGTTGTGCACTATACTTAATGCATGGTTTTTCAGAAAAATCTTGAATTTCCTTATGCAGTTTGGGGAAGTCCTGTGATGCAGTGTTAGCATCCCTACATCTGGGCCAGACATTCTGGGATCCAATCCCACCTTTGGACTTGAGAGCCATTGAAGTTGTGTCATAACACAGTCCAAACAGATTGATAATCAATCTGTAAATCCTGCCGATAAACCTATGGCAGGCAATAAGAGCAGGAGAGTTTCCTAGATAGCAAGGTGTAGAGCTGGATGAACACAGCAGGCCAAGCAGCATCAGAGG